CTTTTCAACTCCAGAATTTCTACTTAGCTCATTTGAAATTCTGTATTTGTATTGATATACTCAATTTTGTGAGACATCATTCTCATGTGTTCCTTTACTTTATTTTTTTGAGACAGAGTCTCACTCTTTCACCCAGGCTTAAGTGTAATGGTGTGATCATAGTTCATTGTAGCCTCTAACTCCTGAACTCATGCGATCCTCCCCCTTTGGCCTCCCAAGTAGCTAGGACTACAGGCACTTGTAACCATGTCCAGCTATTTATTTTATTTTATTTGTATTTTTGTAGAGACAGTGTCTCTTTATTCTGCCCAGACTGGTGTCAAACTACTGGCCTCAAGCAGTCTTCCCACTTTGATCTACCAAACTGCTGGGATTACAGGCATAAGTCACCATGCCCAGCCTAATTCTTTAAAAGTGCTTTACTTTGGTTTTTTGAATATATTTATAATAGCTATTATAAAATCTTTGTAGCAAAACAAAATCTGCACTTCCTCAAGGACATTTTTTTTTTTTTAATGAGAAAGCAGAATTTATTGAGAGGACACAAAAGCTCCCACAGCGGCAGGGGACCTGAAGGCGTTGCCCATCTGAGGCCAAAACCTGGTGCATATATAGCCCTAAGTCCAAGCTGATTGGCTCCCACTCGCTGTGAGCTGTTGCTGTTTTGATTGGTCAGTATTAAGGACCAATTGGCAGGAGGTAGGGGCCTAATGGTGTGCTGATGGGTTGCTTTTTGAACCCAGCAGTGAGGACTTTAGCTGTAGCTTGAGAGGCTTGCAGGGAGCTTGTTTACCAAGATTGAGCCTAAGAGAGCTGCCAGGAGTTCACTACATTGTTACCAGAGGACTTACCTGTCTACTTAGCCTTTCTCTAGCTATTTCCTGTCTCATTCTCCCCTCTGGAGTAGTAACCCTAACTGCCATTAGGGAATAAGAACAATGACCGATTTGGTTACTTCCTGCTGATCGTGGGCGTCATATGGGGACGGCAGCTAGGGTTGCTCTGGAGGGAGATCTGAAGGTCCTCGGTAGAAAGAAACTTCCATTCGATCTTCCATCTACATCACTATTTGGAGTTTGATGTTCTCCTTCCATTGAGCCCCACGTTCAGGTGCCAAATCTGATGCGGATTTTTCAGGTCAGCCTGGGCTTCGAGAGTGTCATCGCAATGGGTCGGCCAACCAAGTCCCAGAGAGGGTCGTCAAGAAGCTGGTAAGCCTAGCCCCAGAAGTGTCAACTCTAAGGGGCTGGCAAGCCAAGCCCTGAGTGTTGCAATTCGGTGAACTGGCAAGCCTAGCCCCCAGAGTATTGACTCTAGTGGACTGGCAAGCCAGGCCCAGAGAGTGTTGCTGGTTCAGTGGGTTGGCAAACCTAGCTCCCGGGGTGTCTCAGCTTCAGAATTTCGCCTTGTTCCAGCAGCTCTCCTGGTTCAGCGGGCTCCGTTGGCTGGCAAGTCAGCCTCTGGGGTGCACAGCTCTTTGGCTCCAATGATCTCCTGCAGTTCTTTAGGTTGCAGCCCTTCAGAATCGACGTTCTTGTCTCATGCCCAGGAAGAATGAGGGACATGGACGGCCAGAAAGTGAGAAAGCAGGATTTATTGAGAGGACAGAGAAGCTCCCACAGTGGCAGGGGACTGAGGGGGTTGCCCCAGGACTGTTTTTATTAAATATTTTATTTCCTGTATTTGGGCAATACATTCTTATTCCTTTGTATGTTTCATATTTTTTGTTGAAAACTGTGTTTTAAGCACTATAACATGGCAGCCTTGGATATCAGATTCCCACCTACCCCAGGGCTTGTTGTTGTTTATTATTGTTGCTACTGTTCCTTATTCATTTAGTGACTTTTCTGAACTTCTTCTCTAAAGTCTGTATCTTTGTCATGTTCAGCTTCTGAAATCCATGCTCAATTAGCTTAGTGGTCCAGTAATGATTGGATAGAGATTTTCTTAAATGTCTTGAACCCATCAGTTTTCCGGCCCACATACAAGGGGCTCTACATGTGTCGAGACATACATTCAATGTTCTGGAAGTTTATAACTCTGCCTTACTTCTCATTGTCTGTTTGTACAGAGTCTCAAGGTCAACCAGAGGTGAGATATAATGCCATGCTAAAGCCTTTTCTGGGCATACCCAAAGCGTTGCATATGTGTGTGACCTTCTAGGGTCCCAGGAATAAGACAGAGCTTTTCAAAGCCCCTTATGAACATCTTATTCCACAAGTTTTTATTTTGAGTTTTTGTTCACCCCCTTGCTACCTTACTGGTATTGTAACCTTGGGCAGCTGTGATGTTAAACACTTGCCACTGATTATTTTCAACTAACAGTCTGGGGACAGGGCCATTCACACTGAGTGAGTTCTGAATCAGGTCAAAGACAAGTTCTGTGAGTAGAGCTTTTCCAGGGAGTTACCCAATAGGTTAGGGAAGGATAGTTCTTTGTGGATGGGGCCTTCCAAGGAGCTCCAAACCTGTACTGCCCACTTCAGCAGTTGCTAGGCTGCTGGATTTCACAGCTCCTGTGTTTCAAGGCTACCATGGAGCTGGAAACAATCGAGTGAAAACACCACAATGCACACTATTCCTACTAAGTGTCAGCTGTTTGTCTTGGATAAACACTCATTGGATTGTTGTGAGCCTTTGGATAATTTCCAGTTCTGAAAAACTTGATTTTGACAATTTTTTTGCCACTGAAGTCATTGTTTTTGTGAAAGAAAGGAAAGGATTTTCAAAGACTTTGCACCACTACTTTTTAGTTTCTTCTTTTAGGACAAATGAGACTAGAAGCAAATGAAAAGGCCTAGTGTCCAATGAAGAGTGAAGATTGAGTTGGAATGGGGGCTCTTCAGAAGGACCTTGAAGCAAATTTGCCTGTTTACATTTCTTTATTTAATTTTTAATTGTAACAGGGAAATAAGTAAATAGCCATGGGAGTATACATAAGTAGATCCTACATCCTTTTTATTTTACACAGTGTTCTATGAGGCTATACCATCTGGTTTTCCATCCTATAGAAGGAAAGGATAGAGGGAGTACATATTACAGGCAGATATACTAGAACAACTGGTAATGAGAAAGAAGCTATAAGTATAAAAAAGTAGACACAACAATCAGCAGATGCCAAAGCAGTGTACTATAGTGCTCACTTTTCATTGACTATATTTATATCAAAATTAAAATGTTTATTTATGCTCTGTATTCTTTGTTTTTCAAGACAGATAATGCCAAATGTATTTTAGACAGTTTTCTATGAAAAATCAATTAAGCTGGGCTCAGTGGCTCAGCCTGTAATCCCACACTTTGGAAGGCTGAGGGGAGTGGATTGCCTGAGCCTGTGGGTTTGAGACCCACCTGGGCAACTTGGCAAGACCTCATCTCTACAATAAATCAAAAAATTAGCTGGGCATGGTAGTGCGCGCCTGTAGTTCCAGCTACTTGGAAGGCTGAGGCAGAAGGATCGCTGGAGCCCAGCAAGTTGAGGCTGTGGTGGCCAGGAGTGGCCACTGCATTCCAGTCTGGGTGACAGAATGAGACTCCAACTCAAAAAAAAAAGAAAAGAAAAGAAAAGAAAAATCAATTAAATGTTTAAAGTTTGATATTTAAAGTTATAGGCTTCATTTACCTAAAATATGAGGCTAAGAAATATCATACATCCAAAAGATACTGCTAATGGGACATTGCTATTTCATGGAATAGTATGCTGTAATCATCCACCCACTTTCATTGTGGTAGTTCCAACACCTGAAAAGACAAGAATTTCAATAGTATGTTGTCTCCATATGAAGACACTTGAAAAATTATTAAGTTTCTCAAAAGCAGAACGTTGACTCACACGGTAGTAATACTTTTTTGTTTCCTCCCTTTCCTAAGTCCTTTAAGTGTATAAGCACCAGTACCACCTTCTACCTACACAGCAAAAGATGCATTGACTTATTGCTGAAGATGCTAGTTTAATAGTTGCATGAAGTGTTGAGGACTTAACTGATCTCTTCAGAATAAACTCTGTGAATAAAACCTGTGTGTTTTAAGGGGGTGTCATAATGATGTCACTTAACATGCAGGCTTAAAAGCATACAAAGCATAGAACTATAGATAGGATCTCAGCAAAAGTAGAGCAGAAATCTTGATGTGAACAGTGAGGGGTGATCTCAGAAGAAACATCTATCAAAAAATCCCCTCACAATGTGGGTACCATTAGCTGACATCATCATAGACGATTTGATGAAAACATCTCAGAGATCAAGGAGTCACTTAAAACAAAAAAAGAAAGTAAAGCTGCAAAAGTTACTGTTCCGTGTAGCACAGATAAAAGACCCACTTTTGAAAGTCTGCATCATGTCATGCACATTATTAAAAGCGTGTCTTACAGGTGGTGGTCTACAAAGGCTGAGAAGATCCAGGGTTCTTTAAGACCACCATCAGATCAGGGGCTGCTCTGCAGGGCTGAAGAACACATATGGATCAGTGTCTTCTACCAGAAAGTAATTCTGGGAAAAGAGAAAAGGGAAATTCCTGGAGGATTTCCAGTGGGTGCTGAGTACTAAGTAGGGAATTACATTACAAGGTACATAGTGGCAAACAGAGTGTTTACCCAAGGTTCTAGGAAGTGACTACTGTTGTGAGTATTCGCCACATGAGGTACCAGATGTCAGGTTGACAGTTTGCCAAATTACAGGTGTCATTTCCCCAGAACTTTTTTTTTCAATATATTCTTTGAATCAAGTCTAGTATACTAAAGATAAAGAAAATATTTAAGATGACTGAACTTCATTTGAGGTGCATGCCCTTTCTTAGAGAAAAAGGCCAGTGTGCTGATGTTCCTGGATAAATATGTAAAGTCTACATAGATATTCATATATATATAAATATTTCCATAGATATTTCCATGAATTTCTTAAATATCATTCTGATTGTGTTTACTAAGGCTGTTATAAGAATACAAGCCATCTGATATGTGCAATTAGCCATTTTGATATTAAAACTGTGTCATTTCTTTATTGCAGTGTCCTGGCAGGTTACAATGGTACCATCTTTGCATATGGGCAAACAGGCAGTGGCAAGACATTCACTATCACAGGTGGGGCAGAACGTTACAGCGACAGAGGCATTATCCCAAGGACTCTGTCATACATTTTTGAGCAGTTACAAAAGGTATGAAACTTCTTGTTCATATCATTTTGTATTCGATATCGTCTTCAAAAATTCACTGTAAGCAGAAAATGTATTATGACACTTTATTATTTGTAAATGAGGAAGTATTATTGTGTAATAACTCTGGCATTTACATTTAAGGAAAGGTTGGAATTTTGCTGGAGAAGTGGAAGTTAAGAGAGTACTTCTCACTAAAGTGTTGCTATTTCAGCAAAGGCTCAAGGAGAGATCCTTCTCATTCACTCATGGAAGTTAAAAGAGCAGATAACACTTTTTACCAACTAATAGCTTACATTCCACATTAAGAAACTGAGGAATACCTTTTTGTCAAAATCAGACCTTTCTTTTAGCTACTAAAGCACTGAATAGGATAGGTTATCATTTCACTTCACACTTTTGATAGAAGCCCAGAAGAATTTACCAGAGTACAACTCCCATTGCAATTAATATTATTATAAAGAAGAGTTCTCTATCTTTAGTAAATATATTATTTATTGAATGCCTCTCAGTGCCTCTAAGTAGCTTTATCAATATCTGATACAACATGTAATGTGACTAACAAGGTAGGTAGCCTTATTCCCATTTTATAATTGGGAAAACTGAGCCTTAGGTTAAATATTTTCTTCTGGGTCCACTTTTTTTTTTTTTAATCAGGATCTCACTCTGTTGCCCAGGCTAGAGTGCAATGGCATGATCACAATGACCACAGTTCACAGCAGCCTCAACCTCCTGAGCTCAGGAGATCCTTTGATCCTTCCTTCTCAATAGCTGAGGCTGCAGACATGTACCACCATGCCCAGCTACATTTTTTTATTTTTTTTTTTGTAGAAGTGAGGTTTCGCCGTGTTGCCCAGACTGGTCTAGGACTCCTGGGCCTCCCAAAGTGTTGGGATTACAGGCATGAGCCACTGCACCTGGCCTTGGGTTCACATTTTTATAAGTAGGTGATCTGGCATTCCACTCAAGGTTTGTTGCCAAACTCTGTGATTTATACCATTACATATATTGCTTCTGTACCTCACCTTGGCTTTATTTTGTTGGTTATGTTTAAACAAATTTGCTATAATGAGCCACTTAACTTCTCTGGGTTTCAGTGTTCTCTTCATGAAAGTAGGCACTGAATTATATCTAGACAGTCTCCAGTGTCCTCACTAGTTCCACCAATTCCTTGGTTGTATTAATTCCGTATAACAAATGCCCTAACTAGGTCAATGTAACAGTCACTCCAAAATGCTCAACTGGATGCTGTTTGCATTTTGAGTTGCAAAGATGAGAAGAAATTGCTGAGATCTGCATAATTCTAATTGCCATCCATAAAGTAGCAATTATCCATTATTTCAGCTCATCTCTCTCTAGCTCAAACATGCCAACTTTGCACACCAGAAAATTTGGTGGAGAAAGGGTTGCGTAGAGCATGTTTGTTGGATCCAAAGCCCTTTTTTCATTTACTCATTTATTTCTGACGTTGCCTATTTTGTTCTGTTTCCACATTTCACAAACTGGGAATATAATTGCTAATAGTTGTATTGCTGTGGCCTAATGTGGAAACCTTTTGTCCTGCAAAGATCACTGGAGTTGGTGCCGACCAACCTGGTTCTGAGACAGTATGCAACTGACAGCATGTGGCCTTGGGATAGTTACTTAATGTCTCAGGCTAATGGGGTTGCTGCGAGGGGCTGAACATACAGTATTTAAAAATATTGTCCAGATCCTAGAACACAGTATATTCTCAGTACATGATAGCTGTAACGACAGTCATAAATATCTACACATAGATAGATATACATGTGGCCAAGTGACCCCAACCAATTTCAGAGCACCCTTCAAAATTCTCAGAACAAATGAAACCAATTCCCTGATTAAGTTAAACAGAATTAACCAATCCTCTCCTAATGGCAAATATTTTTGTCCTTTTAAAAATTTAATCTATGGTTGCTAAAGTACAGTTCTAAAAGTCTAAACGTCTCCCAAGTACTTACCATTTGTTAAGTTTATTGTAGCTCTGTTTGTCATTGACATTACTCTAAACTCCATTTCATTCTAAATGATCCTAAATAACTTCCTGGACTTGTAGAGAGCCCATCAAACCAATTTATAGCCAGGGCAACTCTTTGTAAATGGATGTATTTCCATGACAGGGCACAACATATTCATTATCATCAAATTGAGCTGCCATGAAATAAGTCAGGCAACTTGAAGTGCATCATGAAGTTTGTTCATATTGTATAGCTGAAAAATGCAAACTGGTACTCAGAGGTCCCCAGCTGATTACTTTAGAGGGCCACATGGAGCTCTCTAGAATTCTTAAAGGAAACATTTGGTTTATGCAGTCTTTATTTCAAGATAAAGTAAATGCCCAGTGTGTACTGGGTCCTGAAATGCCTGTGAGTATGATAGGAGCACATTTTCACTGATTTTAAGAGAAGAAAATTGATTCCTTTTATTTTAGAAATCACTGCTCATTATTTCTGAGTATAGTGAGCTTCAAACTTGTTTTGGGGCAAGAGAAAAGACTGTCTGCAGAAAACATGTGTGTTGCATTACAGTCTGGCAATCCTAAACACTAAAAAGGAGTAATAAGGAAAGGTAGCTTGCCACATAGCTCAGTGAATTTCAAGTGTTTATTTCAATAAAAGTCCAGAAAATGCAGAAGCTAGAGGAGCCAAAGGCATTGTCCCTATCATCTCAGGGCAGAGGCCCTATCCTGATTTTCCTGATTTTTTATGATTTATCCTAATTTCTGGAAGAAGAGATTTTCTCCACTGCAGACAAACATACAAGTTGGCTGTTCTTTTTGCTTTTCTTTTCCTTTCGTTTTAAACCCACATACTGACTTCTCCATTGCTTCTAGAAATGATAATAAAAACAATAACAATGGCAATAATAATAGGAACAGGAGCAATGATGATTCATTGGTGTTCATTATGGACCACACATTTTCAATAAGATTAAAAATACAGAACCTTATTTTTCTGTCACAATGGTTATGCAAGATCAGGATTATCATTCCCATTTTCATGGTGAAACAACAGGATAAGAGTGTAGGATCACTCTAATATAAGTGTCAGATTCAGTATTCAAATTCAATTCTATCTAATACTAAGAACTCAGCTGTGTATGCCAAAATCTCAAACCATGATCTCTGGGATATTTCAGATATGTTCAGATACATTTTAGAAATATGTTAGTTTAAACAGGATCTCAGAATGTTGCCAAAGTATCCCCTGGGGCATTTAACATGCTGTGAGAATCTTCCAGAGAGGGCCAGAGTGTATATGTTGACCATGGAACACTTTTTTTTCTGGGAGTAACTTACAGAAGATTTTAGAAACACTGGATTAGATCAGTGGCCATGCAGAGTCTGTCTACTAGTGTTTGTAGTCTCTAATTTGTGTAGTAAATCAAGTTATAACCCAAGAATTATGTCAAAATGGTGCCTTGACTAAACTAGGATACCTATATAATCAGGAGACCATTTGTCAGGATAAGCATTAGAGTCACCCACATCAGCAGAATTTCCAGCATTTAAGAGAAATTTGCATAGTAATTCAGTCGATGTTGTCACCTTCACAGAACACGTAAATTCAACTGTAGCTTGAGCGTTTTTATTATAGTCATATGCTGGCTGAGAGTTGCCTTCATCCTTCATGTGTTATTTTGCTTTTATGAGATGGTTGTATCTTTAGTGGATAGTTTGAGCCATTTTAGGACTCAAGAATCATTCATTTTAAACTGAAGCATGCACAAGGATTCATTAGCCAGCTTTCTCTCTTCAATGGGTTTGAAAACTGAGACCTGATATGGTAGATGCTCCCTCCTAGTTTGAGTAGGAGTTCATTTTCTGTTCTGCAGGTCACCGTTCTCTCCCCTGTCTCTAAGACTTGGCTGTCTTTCCCTTTGAACAATACCTGTTAAACAGATTGTCTTAGATATAGGTGAAAATCAATCAGGCGAGTCATTCTATACAAAGTGTCTCAGTTAGTATCCATTCTGACAACCTGCCAACCTTCTTGCCACAAGACACAAATATTTTCTCCTTTTATAAGAAGCATGATCATATTGGGAGAAATGGAAGCATTTGTATTTTGCGAGGAATAAGAAGGTGCGATTATTTGATATTTTGTATTGAAAACTGCACTTTCTTAAGAACTGAAAAAATTCCCTTCTTTATTCTACCTTAGCTGAAATATGTTCTTTTTTGTCTATTGGAAGAACTGAGACTAGGACCAGTCATCTTGACTTTTAGACTCATTACATTATGCCTCTGTTGTTACATTTCAGCAGTGACCCAGAGAAAGCATCTCTCTCTAACCAATAGCTACATATCCCTGATTTTCCAGGAATATTAACCTCACAAGAGAGGTACTTGTAGTGAACCGTCAACGTCCACTCTTACCTAACTGATCTAAATTATTTTCTGTACTCTGGAACTCACTTTCATTGTCATTATCTATTTATGTTACCAGAAAATTTTGAATGTTAGAAAAGAAAAACAAAAATTGAATATTAGAAACGTAAAAAAAATTATGATTAAAGACAGAAACTATTTTGCTACTGCAACTTTTAAACCAAAGTAATGATCTGTGTTCTTTTATTAGTAGACTTTTGTCCAAATAAATTAATAAAAATAAATAAATAAATAAACTTTTTTCCAAATGTAAGTTTATTTTTTTCTCAGGAAGCTTTTTTGTTTTTTGTTCTGGAAAGTAAAAAATGGCATGTTACACAGTTTTGCAACCAAGTTGGCTCATTGTAAGTGTATATTGACTTTTTATGTATAACGTGGAACCAATAAAAAATAACAGACTGAAGTTGCTTGTAATCATGGGTGTTGGCCGTTAAAAAAAAAAACAACTTCATACATATGGTAACTGGCAACTTGAAAGTGTCACGAACTGAAAATGTAAACCATATAAAGTGAGAGAGAAAAGGAGAGAAGCGGTGAGGAAACTACAGCGATAAATGTGTTCATTTTCCTCTAAGCTGATTAAATAATGCCTTTCCCCTTTCCAATCAGGACAGCAGCAAAATCTATACAACGCACATTTCCTATTTGGAAATCTACAACGAATGTGGTTATGATCTATTGGATCCAAGACATGAAGCCTCCAGTTTGGAAGATTTGCCGTGAGTAGCAGAACAACAAAGAATGGAGGAAAATTACTTTCAGATGTTCCCTTCAATTGTTTTCTTTGAAACTTTGTATGTTTCTGGTCTCAATCATAATTAGCAAGCACTGGATAACAGAATCTTTCTGTAATATGATGGATTTTTTTTTAGTTATGACAAATGGATAGTAGTGATGGGAACTAAAATTGCCTAAAATTTATTTCTTGTGAAAATTTCTTTTGGAGTGGGCACAAGAGAGTGCAAGAGTGGGTGCTTGGAAGATTGATGGGATGTGACAGTACTACTTTGACTCTGCCTCATGAAACCCTTTTACCCTCTAATTGTGGCCTTTTTCTAAGAAGAATGTATTCAAATTAGATTTCAAGCAGCAGTAAGAGAATCTGAAAGAGAGAAAATAAAATTTTAAAATTTCCCCAGATGCTCCTCGACTGTCATTAATGCTATCATTGGCAACATTTGATCAGATTGGCACTGATTGTTTCATGACTGAAATTTATATAGTCTTCAGAGCTTATCTAATAAAGGAGTAAGTCACCCTGCCAGCATCCATCTAACATTGTTTGATGTTTATTTGCCTATATTAGACATATATTAATTGGTATCAGTTCATATATTTTTTATACAGACACCTTCATATATCAGAAGTAGCCTACAGCTAAAAAAAAGTATTTTTAATATTCTTCTTATTAAGTACTGTAAAATAATTTAGAAATACATATTAATTCTCTACCCAAAAGAACAACAATCAGTTGATTATTTTAATTTGCAGAGAAATTAAGAAGAAATAATAAAGAAAGTAAGTATACTCTTTACACTTTTTGTTTGTTTTTTGAGTCAAAGTCTCACTCTGTCACTCTGGTTGGATTGCAGTGGCATGTTCACAGTGACTGCAGCCTTGACCTACTGGGCTCAGGCAACCCTTCCGCCTCAGCCTTCCAAGTAGCTGGAACTACAGGCACACACCACCAAATCCAGCTAATTTTTGATTTGCTTGTAAAGACGAGGTCTCACCAAGTTGCCCAGACTGGTCTCGAACCCTGGGCTCAGGCAATCCTCTCACCTCCACCTCCTAAAGTGCTGAGATTACAGGCATGAGCCACCACACCTGGCCTACACTACCTTTTTATGTATTACTCCATTAATGTTTTGTTTGAGAATTTTTGCATATTATCTCTCTTATGCTTAAAATATTTCTGAGAGGGACTTAGGAAAGTAGATTATTATTTATAGTCTCAATATTTATATAATAATTAAGAGAAAAGAAAAATTACTGGCTCCATGGAGGAAAATGGCCTTTAAAAATCTATTAGCATTAATTTTACAAATAAAGGTAAAACTCTTTACATAGAAAGGACAGAAACAACATTAAAGACATGAAGGTGTGGTTAGAAAGGCAGTATGTTGAAGGGTGCTATAGGTCTGAATGTTTTTGACCCTCCAAAAACTCATGTGTTGAAACCTAATCACCAGTACAGTGGTATTAGGAAATGGGGCCTTTAGGGAGGTGATTAGGTCGTGAGGGTGGAGGCCTCATGAGTAGGATTGATGTTCTTACAAAATAGGCCCAAGGGACTTTGTTCATTCCTTCTACCATGATGAGGACACAGTCATGTTGTCTGTGTTGCAGTCTGCAACCTAGAAGAGGGTTCTTACCAAAACCTGACTATACTAGCATCCTGATCTTGGACTTCCTAGCCTCCAGAGCTGTGAGAAATAAATTTCTGTTGTTTATAAGCCACCCAATTTACAGTATTTTGTTACAGCAGCCTGAACAGACTAATATAAGGAGTCACTGGAAATAAAAGCAGGAAAACCAACTAAAGCCAGTTTTTGGAGGGACCTGAATGACAGGTTTTTAGCGTGAGATTTATCTTTATTCTAATAAATTTCTTAATTAGTTTTCTAGCCTCCAGTCTAACCAATATAAATCAGGCTAAATCTTGCTTAAAATTATTTTCAACAAGTAACCTCTATACCTGAGAACTTGAAAGTTATTAACAATAATTCAGAAATGAAGGGCTTGACCATGATGAATATGGAGAAGAGACAAATTCAAGAAGTATTCGAAGAAATGAAAGAAAATTAATTATATCTACTAACTTTGATTTGATTAAATTTGAAAATAAATGTGACGCATAGAAAGTTGGTGTTCTCCTCATTTTACTGATTGAGGATTAAACCCAGAAAGGTATGACTTGTCCAGAGTTTAAAAACTGATTGGTCAATAGTAGAACAAGATTTTTTTTTTTGAGTTGGAGTCTCACTCAACCCAGACTGGAGTGCAGTGGCCGCTCCCGGCCACCGCAGCCTCAACCTGCTGGGCTCTGGCAATCCTCCTGCCTCAGCCTTCCAAGTAGCCGGAATTACAGGCATGCGCTACCACACCTGGCTGATTTTTTTTTTTTTTTATTTATTGTAGAGATGAGGTCTCGCTGCCCAGGCGGGTCTCGAACCCACGGGCTCAGGCAATCCACTCATCTCAGCCTCCCAAAGGCGCGGGATTACAGGCTGAGGCACCGAGCCCGGCTAGAACAAGAATTTTTTTAAAAAAGATACTGTCACTTTCATGCCAGAGTATCAAAAACAAATTCAAGATTTTTATACTTCACCTAGAGAGCTCAGGAGTCATTGGTCTCAAAAGATTTCCATTAGGAAGTTTAATTGAGTAATGATGATAAATTTTACATATATAGGTTTGGTGTCTGAGAATACCATGCTAGGTTTTTATATTTACAGTAAATTTTTCAGAGGTAGGAAGTATGCCTTTTTTGGTTTGGTGTCTCTTTACTATCTAAGCCAGAGTAATTCCTTAATAATTATAAAAATTATCTGCTTAATTGAAACTCTGAAGTAGACCTTTTGAAGATGAGAGTGTACAGAACAGAGCATGAGCTCTTTCATTTGAATCTAGTTGACAAGATTAGGTGCAGCCTAACTATGGGAAGAACCAGGAATGAGAAAAGTTCATTGAATTCTAAGAGAGGTAGTATAGCATAGAATAAAAAGTTCTCGATTAGAAATTGGGTTGCAGTTTCAGTCCCGTAGTCTTAGGAAAATTCTTTCATTTTTCTGGGTTTCTCTTTATAAAATATGGGCATTAGATTAAATAATATTTAACACTCTGTCAACCTCCAATGTCCTGAGTTTAAAAATTGGTGGCCTTCACAGGATTGGTGTCAACTTATTTGCCAACTTTTTCTCCTTCACAGAAGAATAATAATTGATTAATATTTTCTTATGTTCTCCAACTAAAAACAAGTATAAACTTCTTGAACACAAGGACAATGCTTTAGTTCACTCTGTGTTCTCTGTATTTCTCAGCATGACTGGCATTTAGTAGCCATTCTCAATGTTGGCTACTGTACTCTATACCACAGATTTCCTTTTACTAGCTTTCTATCTTAAACTACTCTCTCTTTTTTAGTAGCTTTGTCCTCTTGTTTGAGAATGAGTTCACCAACTCAAGTTAACAGTGACCTTAGTTACAAAACAGTTGTTATCAAGAAACTACCATACTCATACACAAAAGCGGTCTGAAAAATATTTTTATTCTTACATTTTGAACTATAATTACATGACAATAGATCCCATTAAATAAAAGTGTCATTAAAAATGAAGATTCCCATATCCAGGTCTATCACCTATTACTTCAGATATATTCACTACTCTAAAATTCCAGAACAAGTCAAGAGTTGGATAGTCCCTTGATGTGGCGATGATGAGGTTTAACTGATATTGAGACTGCTAGTTTTCTGAGGGTTCTAGAAAGGTTTGCCTTTTACTGAGATTTTGAAATAATTCTTTATAATGGAATGTGATTTTTGCTGTACCTGGATTAGATTAAGACTGTGCACTATTAATCTAGCTTCCATACTTTTGAACCAGAGTAATCTCTAACTCTGTGATTCTGCCTCTCTGGTTGACAAATTTCATTGTTGTAAGCTGGAATTCCAAACACTCTGAATGCCTTCCAAAAACAGGTAAAATGTCTGTTGACCTTGGTCCCTCCCCTTGTATTCATCCATTTGAGGGACAGTGGCAACATACCCATTTGATCCCATCTACATTCTTATACTAGGCTGAACTATGTAAAATAAAACTCAAGGTGATTTTGTTGTTTCACAATAATAGCCATCAGTAACAGCTTCCTTATCATTGACTCTCAAAGCTTTCTCAAATATCACCTGCTGGATGTTACCTCTCTGCTGTTGCAGAACATTTGCCTATAAACTGTCTGTGTACTTTGTACAGTAAGGCTCCTACATATGAACCTTCGAGTTGCGAACTTTCAAAGATGCAAACATGTGTTTGCATGTCCAATCACTAAATTTAGTTCACATGTCTGGAGTTCATTGTCATGTGCATGCACCCTCTACAAGTGGTTGTGTTTTTGTGTACTTTACTGTACAGTACTGTACAGAGTACAGTAGTACAGTGTCTTTATTTCAAGCCCAGGATGTCCAGAAGCAAGTGTAAAAGAAGTGATGATGTAACTGGTACTGTATAGTGAATTGTGTTAATTGGGTACCTAGGCTAACTTTGTTGGACTTACGAACTAGTTGGACTTATGAACATGCTCTTGGAATGGAACTCACTTATATGCAGGAGTCTTTTACTTAGACTAACGTCAATTACTTTTTTGCAAATGTCACTGTAGTTATTTGTTTAGTAAATATGAGAAAGGCTAACATCTAAATTAGCAATCAAAAATGATTAAACCAAATGCAACCAAGATGAAATACGTAATTGAATAGTTTAATAACCATTATAGAAATTGAATTCATAATTTTAAAGTTTCACAAGATGAAATCTCCAGGCCTAGATGGTTTCACTTAAAGGTCTACCAAACATTTAAAAAAGAATTAACATCAATTTTACACAGTAAACTTTAGGAACTAGAAGACAGAATACTTTCCAAGTTATTCTATGAAGCTAGTATTGCCCTGATACCAAAACAAAGCAAAGATAGAAAAAAGAAAAGGCACTACAGACTAATA